TCAGCATTAACTCCACACACACAAAAATACTTTCTCTGTCATGAATATTTTCTCAGCTTTCACTGTTCCCCACTGTCATGTTATACATGCTGTGTAAATTGTGTGAATAATAGTTTTGTCCTATTTGGGATGACTTAATTCTGCCACTCTTAACCTCCCTCTTGCCTAAACATTTCCATAATAAGCACAATTTTAATATCCAAACCTCATATTTCAATATCTCTAATTAGAAAATGGGTACACTAAGTTTAAAGGTGAATATTGAGAGCTATCCTAATACTTTCAACACTGACAGTTATACTTCTTCACAAAGCATCCATCTCTGCAGGGATGAACCTTGAAGAGGTTCCTCCTTTTATGTCTTATCACACAATCAGCTACTTCTAGACTTTCCTAAAAAGGATAGAGTCCAGATGGCTGATATTTAGTTCACCTGTGATAGATATTATATTTCAATAAAACTTTCATCTTAAAGAAGATTGTATTATTACTTATTTAAATTTGTTGACATGAAAAAGCATCGTTCTGGTTTCCCTATGATCAGTTCCAAACATGATGGAAGAAACTGTATATTTCTGAGTTAAGTACTGAGTTTCTGAATTAAACAAAATTTCCAGGCCACTAATAAGGAAAACACAAATTTACCAATATACCTTTTAAATTGTTCGTGATTTATTCAAGTACCTGGGAAAAAAGGGGTTTTTCACTAAATAACTTAAGGTCTGAATTCAAAATCCTGTTTGAAATCTTCAAATATGAATGTTTTAATATAACATAAAATACATAAGATGTTTAAGGCCATTAGCATTATTTATTTTTCTTGATATCCCTAATTAATCTCTTCTGTAAAAGAAACTCTAATCCAGACTTAAATATTTCATTTTATTTAAGAATTCTGTTCTTATGAAAAATGGCCAACCTGGTATCTAATACACGTTAAGTTTTTACTTTTCAAACCCACCTATTGAATAACTTATGTCAAAAAGATTCTTGAAGTGTCCAAATCTTATTTTAGAATTTTTATAGTAGCAGAAATTGTTTATCTTGGGATCCATGTTGTCCCAAATTATCTCTGACCACTTAAAACAAAGCTTACCAGATCTTCCTGAGTTTTAAAACAAAAACACACACCAAACCCCTTTGTAATTTAACGTAGAAAAAAAGACTTTATTGAAAAGTACAGTTTTAGGAAAGATCACTGGAGATGAGAGGTCATACACTACTTCTAAGGATAAAACATCCTGTTTCCAGAAAAATCTGATGTTCAAGAGATTCCAACTGGGGTCATGGTGAGACTATCATTAAAGTTTCAAATCGGATTACAAGCGGAGACAAATTCTGCTGAAGTTTGAAGCAGAAAGTTTGTAGTTGTTAATGGTTTCTGATAAAATGTGTATGATTTTGAAATATTTCAGATTCTAAGATCAAAGTTTTTCATGTTTACATGTTGATGGACAGAATAAAGTTTCCAAAAGATAATGCCTTTGTTTTGTTTCTGTGTTTGATGAAAGTATCTTATAACAGCACAATATAAAATTTTTTGCTACTTCCTAGATTTCAGTAATTTCATATTCATTTTTGTTAAGAATCATGAATCATTTTTTCAAAACTTTAATTTAATATAGTACATCTTTCTCTCTACCAATTCATGATGCAATGTGTATGATTATTAGGTTATATAAAACAAAGTCATTGAAATGAGCAGTACAGTTGCAAAATATTGAGTTTAAGATGAAATATGGTTTGAAATGGAAAACCAAAATGTAAAAATCTAGCAAAACAAGATGTTCTCATGTAGATTCAAGAGCTTAGACATGCAAAATAAATTCTGACATCAACAAAAGACTACACTTTATTACTAAGGTCTTTGAAGAAAATGAGGGCTACGAGAAACTGGGACATGACTAAAAAGAGCAACATACTAAAATATGAACTGAGAAAATAAAAATGTACTGTGGTAATAAGCAGAGCTCTCACGGGCAATTAGATAGCTGTTTTTCACACAGGCTTTCCTTTTAAAAAAAAAAAAAATCACCCTAGCCCTAAGTACAGGCCTATGAGCACTAGAGGGACAGACTTCCTCCCCACACTGTGCTTGTCCTGCAGGTCCTGCAGACCCTGCTGGATGGGTCTCCCATTATCCCATCATTGTGTCATACTTCCACAGTGATTTGAGGTCTCTAGGTGCAGGACACAGTACAAACACACATGCGTGGATCTTGCCAGATGCATGGCATGATGTCAGGCCAGGCCTATGTTTTCTCTCTCCCACAGATGCTGCAATGTTTTCAAAACAGGGCCAGGCAATCCCCTCTCTCTCCTGATAGCCTGGGAGGAAGACCCAGCCTAATGGCGGCAAAAGAAGTCCAGTCTCTGTAGCACAGGCGTTTCACAAAGAATACCTGATGATGCAGTGTCACAATTTAAGTTTTCTTCCTTTTATTGTAACAGAAAGAGAAGGCCCATTTCAAAAATGGGGAGGTGGGTATGAATTGCCACAACGAATTGTGACAGATTTATTACTATTTGTCATGGTAAATATGTATCAAAGGAAACATGTAAGTGTCTTTATGTAGTCATAATCACTCCAAAGGAAACATTTTATTATCCCCAATCTTTTAGTATCTGTTATGCAAATATACACACTGAAACAAGTTAAAGTTAAAGTATCTCTTATCAGATAGTCATAATTTTATTTGAACTGAAAAAGAAAGCACAGTAGAAATCTAAAAATATAGAAATATAGATATACTGGGGCAAAAGTATAACCGTGTCTACCACAGACCTTTTTCGGAATCAAGTTAAAGTAAATATTTTGTGTGGTGGTAAGCCACGCGGATCTTGTTATAAGTAATAAGTAATTGATATTTACAACAAAGCTTACATAAACGAAGCTAAATTGCTATGAAAACAGAACTGAGATCATTTTTAGGTAATAAGTAAATGAATGAATAAATTATAAAATTATCTAAACTTGTTCTTCTTGCTCAAAAAACAGGAATAACAATCTCATTTTTAATTGTATTTTCTTCCTCCTTGTCTTTCAGAAAAGGGGCTATTCACCAAAATGTTTCCTAAGAACCATGAAAACATCTAGTCAAGATAAATTTTCTAAGAGTAAATCCTAAACAGACAACTAAAAGCTAAAAATCAAATAGAATAAAACCAAACTCCTACTTCCCAAGTTTTGTTTATTGGGAAAGAAAAAATATATATTTTTATATTTCTGAACATATCACGACATACCAGCAACACCTAAATTGTCTTAACAGCAAAGAAAACACTGTACCAGTAAAAATTTCTAAAGGGGCCAGTTATATGTAGGGAAATACTTAAAAATTGACAAAGAATTATGAAAATTGTTGTTGACAATGATGAAGCATAGACATACCATCTAATGCCACATCAATGCACTCCTTAGAAATTGTCTAGAGATCCGCCTAATCTTAGCAATGGGAAAAAAACAAGTTAATTTTAATGTGAGGCATAAAGAGGGTAGGATAGCTTTAAGTTTTTCATGGCTTTTATAGGACAGTTATTCCATTGTTTCAAACATTCTAAGGTCCACTAAATGCATTTAATATTGTCCATATTAGGTTGAGGCATGTTTAAAATGTAAGCAGCTGTTAGGACGATATCATTTGAAGTTGTTATAAAACCTATTAAAAGCTAAAGTTTCATCGACATTAAATCCACCCCTAACTTCAAGCTTAAAATATGCCTATAAAATCCTTTGGGACTATTAGTCAATTTCAATATAATACAGAAATTCAAAAAATACACAACTGAGTACAATTTTAAGTGAGTTATTGACAGTTGAAAGTGACTATTATATACGCCATTGGCAACCTTATTTACACAATATTTTTCTATATTTATGAATAATTTTGTGATGCTTCTTCAACATCACCAATTCTATGATAATCAGCATACAAAATTTGCTCTTTTTCCCAGTAAGACTTACTCTGATATATTCATTTAATAATTGTTTGGATGAGTTGAACTGAAATCAAGTCAAATACACAGGTGTTTGGGTTAATCTAATCTTAGCACATTTGCAAAACCTATTATTCTTCTAATACATTAAAAATGAAATGAAACTAATATGCAAGCATTGATTGGTAATATACTTTCAGAAATCTAAATATAATTTTACATTGAAGTATAAAAACATAAGGCTCATTAGCATTCTTTCAAAGAATACTAGCACTCTACAGAATTATATTAAATCTTTATATCACAGGAAGGAAAAATGAAAGGAAGGATAAAGAAGCAAAGAAAGAAGAGAGGAAACTTTTGTTTTCATTTTATATAAGGAGAAAATTACTAGAAATATACTAGTCCTAAACAAAATTAAACACAATTACCTAGGAATGTAAGAATTCAAAATATGATATAATGTATTTAGTTGTGGTGATCACAATCAACTTTTGCTGTGCTGGGGACCTGGAGGCAGGTGGGGGTTGTTAGCAACTTCTGCACAGGGCTCCAGCTATTAAAAAGACCCAGAATGCTCTTGGTTACAACTGACTTCTTCTAGTTGTCACCTGGTAGTAAAGACACAAATGGCTACTGATGCAGCTACCTCTGCAGAAAATAGAGACATTCTTCCTGCACTCTGGGCTGAAACCCATGTAAATTTTTCCTAAATCCTCTCCACAAATCTCCTTTCCCATGCAAATCCATAAATCATCATAATACTGACAAAGAATTTAACCAACACATGAAACTAATACTCATTCTCTTGAAAGCCCTGTACAGGTAAAACTCCTCAAACTTCAGGCACCTTTTCAAGGCTCTCTTTAGAGCTTAACCTGCTGCATATCAACATAACCACCCAGTCTTCCAGGATGTGCAATTAATCACTCCAACGTAGGTCAGGTGGCTGGAGAAATGTGCTGCTCTGGGCGCATGGAAACTTATTTACTTCTATCTCCTTCCCATCAGTACAAAACAGAACTAAATAAGCAATATATAAAGCAGAAACAAGCAGTACTTACTGAAGATGGCAAACCTGGAGGAACTTTTCTAACTTTCTTTGTCTGTACCTCTGAAAGAAAATGAAGATGCTGTCAGCTCCCACATGCCCATTTTCCTAAGATAGATTCAACCACAAAGGCTTCTAGATGATACCATATTTCCTCAAATCATTACCTTAGGAAACTGTAGTTACCAGGATGACATTTGATTCTAGCAGAAATCAAATTCTGCTTTGTTCATAAAAATGAACATATTTAACTTTTTGCTACTTTGATCTCTTAAAAGAGATCCTTATGGGTGCAGCCAAGAGAAAACTAGAAATAAGCAGACACCAAAAAAGTTCTGCTACCCTAAGTTGTTAACACACCTACCCAGTGTTCTAGGGGGTTAGTCTCCTGGCTGATAACTGAGCCAGACTTCATGGTTTTCTTGGTGTGGGAGGTAGGATGAGGGGGTGATAATTTTAAAGAAAGAAAGAAAAAGGCATAATCATCCCTCAGGCATTCAAACAAAGGAATACCTTACCCATGGCACTACTGTGAAGAGGCCTCCTTCGGGGATTATTGCTAGAATACTGATAGTACTGGGAACCAGGTTTGGTGGGCGAAAGGGTTCCTGGGTTGCCCATATCCATGTCACCTCCAAGGAGACTCTGCTAAAAGGTTAAAACGGGAAAACAAACATAGAAGGTTAATTTTTCACTTTCACCACCTCCCAACTGATTGTTAGTACTTAAACCAATGCAATAAAGCAAACAGCATCTGCTGAGCTGAGACAATTAAAACAAAACAAAAACCCAAAAGAAAGGCAGTCTAAGAAGCTATCACAAAGTTTTTGAATTTTTAATTCTTTACTTTTAGGAGGAAAGTAGATGATTCCCTTTAAACAATATTTTTAAAGTCTTTTAAGATGACTCACGTTTTAATTTCGCAAAACAAATGGCATTTATATAAGACTGATGTTTCCTTTCTCTAGACTTAGGCTTATATCTGGGAACTATTCATCCCCTTCCTTAACAAGAAGAATCTCATTTTGTGAACGCATACAACGTCCCCCGGCTGCACACACTGGGGGTGAGTGTAGCCTATCAACTCCACTGAGAACCCTGCCTCTCTGTACCGCATATCATGATTCTCCACGAACTGACACAGCACCCACAGAAGAGAAAATGCCAACTGAACCAAGAGGAAAATCAAATCCTCACGCTAACTCTCAAAATCATAGAAATAGCAGATATTCCACGCTAACAGCCACAAATCAAAGGACTTCAGAATGCCCTCTTGAGGTCTATCGGAAGCTAAGACACATCCCACAGATTAAACATTTACCTGAACGCTAGAAAACTTCCACAATGACTTATCACCGTGTGAAAAATTGCTAAACTTTCAAAAATTATGACATCAGAAAGATTACATAATATTACATTTTCTAAAAACTACATAGAAACTTACCCATAATATATAAATCGCCTGATTATACTCTGCATTGAACACATTGTTCTTTTAATTATTCTGATATGCAATAAAACAAGAGAAGATAGTAGCATTTATATTAAGAACAAATTTACTGTTTAATAAAGAAATTTTAAAATTAAGTACTAAAAATCTAACTTTATCGTTACTTGTAATCAACTTTTACTGACTGAACTAATTACTGTCCTTGATAAAGTACAGAATGTGTTTTCCCTAATCTAAATTCTAATCACCATGTCACTCACAACAGACTTAGGGATGCTTCACTAACACACTATTCACATGCAAAATACTCTAAATAGGCCAATTATGACTCTGCCCCTGTTCCCTGGTTAACCCGCTGAGAACTGAAAAATTTCACAAGGCAGTCACCAACTAAAACAAAGGGTCCTTGTTTTAAATTAAGACAGTCTTTTTGATTCCTAAATAGCTCAACAAAGTGGCATGTCTTCTAGTGAAAGCAGTTGGTCAAATATGACCCATAAGCTGGAAAATCAAAAATTCAAACCTCCCCTTTCCACCGCCATATAGCTAAATATCATAAAGAGAACCTCTCTATTCCAAGGGATTTTTCTGAGTGTTGGATGAGTCATATATAAAGGACTAATCAGCTACTGACAAGCTCGCCTTTACTGATTCCAGTTTAAGACGTTTTCAAGAGATATGTAATAAACATTACTTCAAAATACAACTTCAAGGATGAGATTTCAGGTTGAAATCACATTTTGAGTAATAAACTCGTTTCTAATATCTTAATATTTACCACATAAATAGCGATAAAACCAGATGTATCAGACAAAAATCTGACATCTGCATGCTCAACTACTACCTCATTTGAACTTAAGAGACATATTAAAACACTACACAATGACAACTAAAATAGAAGGCTTATTACAATAAAGTTTTGTGTAAGTCAGAAATCTAGGAATAAATTTATCATTGAGGAATGGCATTCAAAAATTTTAGAATATCAATCTGAATTTCACTCTTGGCATTCCTTATTAACAAAGTAAGTTAAATTGAAGTCCATGTCCAAGTTTTCTTTGAAATTTCCTTCAATAAAGCTGTGAATAATTTGAAATCACAACTTCCTTCCAGTTTGGTAAATCTATGAATGAGTCTTAATTTCACTGGAAAGAGGAGTTTGAAAATAATTTTGTATTTTAGACACACATCACCCCTATTTCTTCATTTTTATTTTTCTAGAAATACATAAAATATTCAGAAAAGGGCTGAGCAAATATGTTGAAATGCTTTCTTGTGTTTTTAAATGAGTTTAACCACTGGTTAATTCCTCTTGGTCCTGGTGGCAAAGGTTTTCATTCTCAAGAAATTAAATGCATTCAAGGGGTCAACCTAAAAACAAACACAATTGCTATGCTGTATTTTAGCAGCATTCACAATAGAGCTGTGAAAAAATATAAAATGATAACTACAAAACAGCTACTGGCTGTGGTTGACCTTACTGTTGTTAATTTAAAAGAAAATAATTTCATGGGCCAGTCATAATAAATCACGCATCCAACTCTTACATATGCAGGCACAAGGACTACATACAGTAACACAGTACTAAGACCAGATAGCACTTAGGAACCTTTAGTGGTTCCTGCTAATCTTTATTTTTTCACAAAGCACATTCCTGTTTCTTTCTCTTTAGACTTGTTTCTTCCTATTTCTTTCTCACTTGGACAATAGAATCATTCTTCTAAAGCAACAAAAATAAACATTTCCTCACACTTAAGGGGGCCCTAAACACCTCCTTAGGGAAAAGGAAGATAAAAATATATGTGTTCTTATTGTAGAGTATACTTATAAAGTGAACAATGACCATTTACTATTGTTTGGCCTTTACGTCACATACTTAACTCTCTGTAGCAATGAGAAAGAGAAATTTTCCACTGGCTGAAAAACCCAGAGTTTCTGAATTTTAAAAAGTGATTGGCACTTGATTTGAAGTAAATTCAATTCTGCACAAAATGGATAAGGTATTTGTTTATATTACAAATTTACCTGCATATCTATCTACAGCTCTGAAGACAAATTTCTGCTTAATAAAAGTTAAGCTTGAAAAAGAAGTCTACTTTCAGAATGGACAAATTCATCCTTGCCTTAAATAGGATTATAATGGTTTTAGGTTTTTCACATTGTGCAAGCTCATGTTCTGCGGTTATGCTGGGTCCCAGTAGTAGGCTGCCCGAATCTGCCAGGAAACACTGGAGGCAAGATGTGGCATCTGGCAGGGCGAACCTGTAAATCTTAAACCCATAGTTTAGCATTTTGCTTAACTGTCCACAGTGTGATGAGACAAGCCCTTCCCCTTACTCCCTCCTATTTTTTTCCCAAATGCAAACAATTTCAAGACTCAAAATACCGTAACTAAAGAATAAAACACACTGACTTTGTCAAGCAGGTTGGAACGTTTTGGGGTTCACCCTCTGCAGCCAATTCCCCTGCAAATAGCCATTCCTAACTTGGCCATTCAAATCCCCAAATACAGCACCCCGTGAGTGTCTTTTTCAATTAAATTTTTTTTTGTTTGTTTTACATCAGATTTGTCTGCCTTACATCAGATATGGGTCTCAGAATGTCTTTCAAACACATTCTCAACCCTATTCCTTTTCGGGGAGCTTCTAACCGCCTTGATCAGCCACTGAACTTTGCTTATGCAACCAAGAAAGCAAACCATGAATTAAACTTGAGTAACAGAAAAGCAGCATATATCTCAAATTAGATTTATAACTGAATGGTAATCAAAAATAGAACTCACTGCTTGAAGCTTAAATTATCAACTTTTTTCTAGTTAAACTAAAATCATCTTGCTCTGAACTATTATTTCATTTCAGTCAGCACTTTAAATGTAATGGGTGGGTGGTACATTTCTAAAAAGGAAGATTATATTTATACTTAATTATAGATATGACTGAGATCAGAGTACGATGAATACTGCTTTTTTGGCTTATAATTAATGAATCTAATAGGTGAATGACCTTGAATTTCAGAGTTGCAACCTGGGAGAGGGAAAAAAGAAGTAGGAGAAAGAAAATCTCTGGAGAAAAGCAAATGTGCCCCCGGTTTCTCGGGGCTTTCTCTGATTTTGCGTCACTCCCATTACGTTGTGATCCGGTATCAGACACAACATCTTGGGGGGATGCTGCAGAACAGAGAAAAGCAGTCTCAGATGAAACCAGATTAAGCTCCTTTTCTGAACTATTGCCAAATGCTTGTGAGTCTAATTCATGTTTGGGTATTCTAGTACTCACACAGCTGCAATTCCATTCTTTCATCACAAACCTAAGTGATGTATAGTGGCTTTGTATGGTGAACTGACTCTATAAAGCCAGGATTATTTTAAATGTTAATATAAAAAAAAAATTCTGAACCACTATAAAACTTTTACAAACACCGAATATATGTGCAGGTATCTACCAGACTTTGCGGCGCTAAATGCAAAATACACACTGAGTGAAATCACAAATTAGATTTGTTTAAAATACCTTTTATCACAATTGAGGTCACTTCTACATAGTTAATTCTGCACAGAATTGGGTTTTCAAAGACACTGCTGAATAAGATTCCTAACAGCCATGGGGAAGTTTCTGTAAATCCCTGTCGAATAGTTGCTGCTGAATTTGCCATTCTGACCACAGAAGGGCCATTGCTGACTTACTACAGTAGCAGGAGGGGGGCGATAATTTTGCTGCTGTTGGCACTTACTCTGCAACCTAGAATATATCTTGCACCGAAGGGCAATGAAGAACACAATATTTCCACCTGTCCACTTTTGAACTTCAAAGCTCAAAACTGAAGGTCAGTCTTTGGATGGTCTTTGTTCTTGATTCCTGAAGGTCCAGGAGTACACCTTTATAAATTATTTTTATTTCTGTCCTGAGCTTGGTTTAGCAAAAGAGGACCTGGGAAACTTAGAAAGACAAGACGACTAAGATATCTTGCAAATCAGGGAATTAAAAGACTGTTGTACTGTACAGAAATGCAAATTATTAAAATTATTATTTAGCAAATAATTTTTAAAGGCTTTTTGTCAGTGTCTTTTATTTATACATTGAACATGTAATGCACATTGTATCTGTAACACGTCAGAAGTAGAATTCGTATCCATTAAGGAAAGAGGGAGGGCCTTAAGGTCAGACCGATCTGGGTGAACCTTAGCTCAAAGGCATACAGA